CGCATCAGTACCTTTCATGTTCATACTTACGAGTATAGTAAGGCCATACAGTATATAGGAGGCTGCGTGAAGTCCAAGAATACTTTGTCATGAACCAAGGTTTCAACATCTTGTTGACTCTGTCCATTGATTAATGTATTCTACCTGAACATAGCCAACCCTGTACTGTATTTCGGCGTCTACCTATGATCGGTAATTAGAAATCTAATTTGAACACGTTACTGACTCATACATGCTGCACGCTGTGTATACAGCGCCATCTATGAGCTTCTAACCTTTTCAAAGTAGATTTATAATCATTACAAATAGAGGAGATGGAAAACGACAGATTTGATAGAAAGATGCAAGAGCAAGAGCAATTGGTATGTTTTTTGTTCATAAGCTTAGATATGACGGATATAGCACCTAGCGTACCTAGTGCCATTTTTGTCTAGCTTTCGAGATTACCATCCGTTTGCAATTTTAAACTCCAAATGACTAAGGTCATGATCTCGGTCATCAAATCTGTCACACTGACACCATTGTTAAAACCTTTTTTTAGGGTTGCCGAGTACTCGGTATGATCGGATACTTATTTTTTTTTAAATATATATTTTTTTAAAAAGTGGCAGTTGATAATTTCAAGATGTCGGCTCGGCGCAATATTGGAAATTTTTTTAATGGAATAAGGAGTCATGTAATAGCTCGTTTTGAAGTTCGTTATGAATACTGTATAATCCTAGAATGTAAAATCCCTATCTTTCGGTAGTATGTCGAAGTTGAGCGTTTCTGTACATTGCGTCGTTTATAACTCAACAATCAATCACCAAAGCACTATGTTATTGAAATCTCTTTTTGGAAGAATTCCATCTGAAAAATTGTTATAATCTATCACTTTTTTGAAACTGAATATCTCATACTTCATTGCACATTCAGATTGATCCTTCATAATGGTAAATAGATTAATATAACTTACTATAATGTTATGTACAAAATGTACAAAAACGCTGAAATTTGACAACCCGCCTTCCGTCATTTCGAAAGATAGTAAATTTAGATTCCAAAATGGCGACCAGCTGCTATCTTGAATTTTTAATTATTATTTTTACGCTAAAATATAGTATTGACGCATGAATTTCATCAGCCCGTATTCTAGCTCAACCCGTTCAAAAGTATAGGGGGGCTTTTAAAGTAAGAACCGATTGCGCATCGAGCACGCGCATGCTGCCACGTGACGTCCATTTAATCTCAGACACTCTTAGCCGCCATTACTTTTTACGTCCCTGTCGGTGTTGGTTGAAGTGGTTTTTCTGCTTTGTTTCCCACAATGTCAATCAGCAAGCTCGCCGACTGTTAAGTACACTCAGTAATTCGGTTTTTAAACACAAACAAAGTTCCGCCTGCAGCAATTCACTAGCAGCTTGTTGAATTTGGCGCGCTATTCAAAAACGCCGGTGGAGTCAGCTCTCTAGCAGCATCGTTTTGCTTCATGACAACTTTTGACTTCACGCTGCGGCAAGAACACAGTTGCAACCGGATAAGTTTCGTTGGGAATCACTGGATCATCCATCATACAGGCCCGACTTAGCACTGTCAAACGTTTATCTTTTATCAAAACTAAAAGAATCTCTTGATGGAAACCGCTTGGAAAATCAGGTGACAGCGTTCTTTGACTACGGGATCCAAAAGCTGGTATCACAACTTGAGAAATATTTGAATGTTTATGGGAACTATGTTGAATGACATTTACATTAAGTTTCTTTAACTCCATTACAAAACTGTTTTACCTAAAAAATGACCCATGTCATAAGACACCAATAAACATTAATACCTCGCTGTCTACTGGCGTCGAAAATAGAATATAGAAGATAAATCCGTACTTACGATTATCGAGCTTAACGATTTGACTCCCTTTTTTGGCGAGATTTAAAAAAATCTGATAATTTCTGCACTCCACAGAAGTACTGATCTGATAAAATACGTCCTGCATGCTACACTCGTCCGGTAGCATCCATAAATCAGAACCATCAATCCGGTTGTCCCTGTGCCCCATGCTGATGGTTGTAAATTATACCGGCCTGGATCTGGCCTTCACTTTCAGTATCTCTGCTCGCGTACAAAAACGGAAGGGCATCAATATGCTTCGGCGATAACATTCATTTTCATAGACGCCCCTCGCAATGTGGAAAAGACGCATGGCCTTTCATAATTTATGATATGTGCTCTAGGCGGAAAAAATCGATTTTTGTGCGAGGTTCGTTCGGAATACAAAGGCGGGCATTCACCAGTTTTGACAAACATAAGATAATTCACCATTTTTTGTTATAAATGACAGCATTGCAGGTAAATTCAATAAAAATACAAACTTTTATGGCATATATTATTCACAGTATGCTTACTTATACGTTGAATGAACTTTTGTACCGATGGTTCTGTATCTTGTAAGTTGTAACCTCAGTTTTAATGTGTTTTCTAAGAATACAAAAACAATTTGATGAGTAGGAATAAGAATTACTTTCGCACATTATATTCATCGCCGCTATGCGCCTCAGGTTGTAAAAGTTGTCGCCAAATAATGGCACACTTCTCAAACACGATATGCAATGTACTATTTTTCACTACGTAATATTACAAGATATTCTATATTTTTCATCATGTCCATGACATTTACAGTTACTCTAAGATATCTAGTTACTGGCGTTGAACTGACAAACATAAATTAATGAATGCAACAGTCCGTCGATTTGGGTTGCCTGGTCCATCCAAGCAAAGTAAGTTACAATTTGTTTTCCTTCTGTTGCCCCTTTCTAACATTATGCCAGGTATTGAGGTATTGAAGAAGTATAACTACAGTACAAGTACTATGTCTCAATATGTTTGAAATATTTCGAAATATGGAGCTACGTCGCCAAACTGACATGATGAAATTGGCAGGATATATTCCTAACTGGCATTATTATTTACCTAGGTGCTTCTTCTGTTTTCATTATTTACCTACGGAGAGAAATGTTACTTCTCGCATTGCAGTTAATAATGGTGCTTTCTGGAGTAGTAAAAAAACAATGTTCAACCTTACTGAATTAGCATCACATACATATATAAATGGTATTTTACTACAATTCCCAATAGGAAGTAGCGACGGGCGACTCTGCAGACAGTGGCAATAAAAGATATAATACAATCAACACATTTTCCGATGTATCAGACATCTCGCCATTTTATTACGATATAAATCAGGTGTTATCTCAGATCCACGTAATGAAATGTGAGAGGAGAAGAAAGGTAGCAGAGAAGGGTGTATATTCCGTAATATTTGATATCTATATGTGAAAGAAATGGATCGTAAAAAATCATCCCCTACACCATCCATTCTCTCTCTCTATATATATATAGAGAGAGAAAATGATCATGCGGAGAAAGGTATGTATACAGGGTGACTTCGAAGTTGAGTCATTTATTTTAACAGTGAGTAGATCTGATCAAAAGAAATGTTTTTTTCCTTTACCATCTTTCTGGTAAAATTAAAGTAACAAAGTTATAGCCCTTTGGAAGTTTGAGTACCGCCCTGTCTCAATAATAATATTATGTGCTCGTGTTTGGCGACAACGGATATAATTCGCCTTATCGGTTCATCGCATCGGAAACAAAAAAGCGAAAGAATTTGGAACGATGTTTTTACAATTATTCCATTCAGTTGTATACAGTCAGTGTCAGTCGGTAGTGGATAGTGGTGTCTGTTGCGTGGCTCAAACGAAATAAAAAATGGCACATGTTTATGCGGATCGGTTTCCCTATCGAGTGCAACCAACCCCTCGTGCCTTTGTTAATGTAGTACAACGGGTTCGTGAATCATTTGACTTAAGACCTCACATATGGACGGCATGCCGGTGCTCCAAGACCTCACGATCAAATACAGGTCCGCACTGAAATACTTGTCGGGAGGATACTTTATAAAACAAGGTAAAATTTTTTCTTTATCTTTTTTTTTATTTTTACACACATATTTTGGTTTATCTTCCTTCTACAATCATTATATGAAAATTAATGACTCAACTTCAAAGTATAACAAAAAGTAGGAAAATAATGGGCAAAATCCGAAAAAAGGAGGAAAGTGGATTCGAGCAGAAAATAGGATAGGTAACCCGAGCGATACGTATTTCTGCTGGTTCGCCTCATCAGGCCCGAAATGAGTGCACATATAAATCTACAAAAGTAGATACACATGCCCACACATCCGGATACGGGTGTAACCTGAGGAAACGAAGATGGAGACGGAAATAAACAACACACAAAGTCCACAATAAGAGCCAACCTACACATTGTAGTATAAAATGGCTAGAAGACCTCGAATATTCAAGGAGACATCTAACCACAACCGCGCGACCGGTTATAACCACTTGCTGTGGTACTTCAAGCCCAAAAGATATACAAAGAGAAAAAGGAATATAACAAAAATGCCCATTATTTTCCACATAATCATTTTCTCTTTGTATATCCTTTGGGCTTGAAGTACCACAGCTTGTGGCTATAACCAGCTGCGTGGTTGTGGTTAGATGTCTCCTTGAAAATTCGAGGACTTCTTGCCATTTTATACTACAATGTGTAGGTTGGCTCTTGTTGTGGACTTCGTGTGTCGTTTTTTTCCCATCTCCATCTTCGTTTCCTCAGGTTACACCCGTATCCGGATGTGTGAGCATGTGTATCTATAGTCAACGCCAAACAAAGTGGCGTGCACGTCATCAAGGTGGGTGTGTTGAAAAATTTACATTGTTGCCAAACTTTTTGTAAAATAATAAAATTTATTATTTACATATCTAGGTTTATAAGCAATATTAACCTCAAATGAGAACAAAAATAATAGTATAATAAAATTATAGATCTGTACTTGCATAATCATTAAGTATGACAATTATTGATCAGATGACACTATGAAACTACCATATTTAATTGATAGCTTAAAGGTACTGAATAAAAATCCAAATGGGGTCCTCCAAATTTTATGCATGGTATTTATTTTACAGAATTCATACAGAAAAATGCATTCTAAAATTAGGTAAGCTACTGGTGTAAGCTTTTTCTGTACAATAAAGTTAGTCGGAGTTTCTTTCTTCAACGCTGTCTGAATCTTCATCACTCTCAAAGTTGATTATTAAAGGTTCGATGTCTGGTCGATCAAAAATTCGTTCTCTTTCATACCATTTAAAAATTTCTTGCTCAGTATGTCGAACACTATTTTTCCACATGTCTGGGGTAACCGTTTGTAGAGCCTCGTTCCACATATCCAAACAGTCTTTTTCACTGTTACCATCTCTACCAATATGTCTGTTATAGTAACCTTTTGCTATGCCCCAAATTAACTCAATAGGGTTAAATATACAATGGTAAGGAGGCAGACGAAGAACTTTGTGCCCATGTTGTTCCGCCAATTCATCAATCACGTATATTTTAGGTGGTTTGTTTCTAGAAAAGCAGTTATTTTAAGAATAGGAATAAACAAAAGAAATATAAACTGTCGACCAAAATATATATAATTAAGAAGCATTATGTACCGAGCAACAATACTCAATAGCTCTGTTTTAAACATTGTGTTTAAAAATGGTATGTTTTGATTTGTCAACCAGTCTTGGATATTTTTTTTTGTCCATGCATTGTTGAGCACTTTGTTCAATATCATGCTGTGATAAGGGGCGTTATCCAGTATAATCATAGATGGACTCTCCAATTTTTCTAATAACTGATGTTGAAACCATTTCAAAAAATTTTCCTGGTTCATCTCTCCATGGTAATCGCTCAATTTTGTTTTCGAAGAAAATATCGCTTCACTACCCTCAATAAACCCATTTTCATTTCCAGCATGTAATATAATGTATCTAAAATATATTAGTTTTAAATTTTATAGTGCAAATTGTGTAAAAGTACATACCTTTTACCATCTGTTTTAATAGCTTTCACGCTTTTTTGGTTTCCATTTTGCCAAGAGCGACCTATGGTCCCATTTTGAAATATCCAAGTTTCATCGAGGAAGACAAACTGGTATAAGGCCTCAACCTTGGCTTGATTGTATTGCCTTAGAAATTCCACCCTTTCAAAGCTATACTTGGTAGTTCCATGAGCCCTCGTCGCGGATTGTCCTTAAGCCACATAAATCCAAGATCTCTAAGCAACCGCCTTAAAGACGTGGCACTACCATCAAATAATGCCCTATCTCTTAATCGAGACCATAAAGTTTGTATCGTAACTTGTTCTTCTGAAACCATGTGTAATATAACATTATAATTTAGTTAACAAATTAATGCAAATTTCTGATAAGTTATTATAATAAGATCTTACTTTTGTGATACATATTATAGATCACTTCTCGAATGGCACTTGTATCCAATGTCGCTGTGTTGGTTACACGTTTAATATAACTCCGCTTTTTCTTGGGCGATTCTAAATTTGCATCACTTTTCACACCCTCGGAAATACGACTAACTGTCCTTAAACTAATTTTTAAAGCAGCAGCAACACGCTACAAAAAATGAAATAAAATTTCACTATTATTAATATACATTACATATAATTATTAGTAACCTACCTCTTGAACAGCATTTAAAGGCAACAAAGGCCCGTTGTTGTCCCTTTCTTGCTCAAAGTAGTGCATTAACGAGGCCACGAGTTCCTTACACCGACTATTTAACTGTTTGGGCATCTTTATATACCAAAATTGCCTTTATCTACTCGTAAAATGAATAATTTTGTTTTGAAACAAACAGTTGTTGATTTACAGTATGCGGGGCCAAAGGATTTATAAAGATTTGAAATGCCACAAATTGATTCAGTGTCAAAATTAATACAAATGTCAGTTCCCAGTTTAAATAAGTTTCAAGGTGACAATGTGTCAACGCTGCGAAATCGGTTTAGTGCGTTTACATGTCGATAAGTGATTGGAGCGTTTGCAAAACATTTTATTTCGCATAATGCGTCTAAATTTATCAGAAAGCAACTTATGTGATATTTTAATAACAATGTTTATATGACTATTAACCATAATAAGAGAGTAATGACCATTTTACAATTTATATATCACATTAATATGAAACTGCAATAGAGCAATTGTGTGTGATAGAAACCTAGGCATTAGGTCGGGGAATTTTTATCGTGATGACGTGCACGCCACTTTGTTTGGCGTTGACTATACTTTTGTAGTTTCATATGTGCATTCATTTCGGGCCTGATGAAGCCAACCACCAGAAATACGTATCGCTCGGGTTACCTATCCTATTTTCTGCTCGAATCCACTTTCCTCCTTTTTGCGGATTTTGTCCATTATTTTCCTACTCTCCTACTCACCTATATATATATATATATATATATAGGTGAAAATTTAAAGCTTCCGCCTTTTGTTGGGTACTTCGACAAAATTTAAGCAAAGAGGACTCTTTATACTTTTTTAATTCTCTCCAGCTTTCAAGGGACTTTGCCATCATCATCAGGAGCTGCAATTACAATGATAACAGTAGCAACAAAAGTGTAAAATGAATTTAAATTGACTCAACTTACAGTAGTATGTGAGGATGTTGCTAATTGTTGTTTACGTATAGAATGAGGGAAACGTCCAGTAACATGGTGAGAGCTGGATAGATTGTACAATGGTCAAAATTATATAAAATATGACAAAAACAAGTTAAAAACAGATTAAAAATTATTTAAAAAACATTAGAGCATTACATCGTGAAGCCACTTGATGATTGTACAAAATAGTGGTCATGGAATAATGAGTGAGATGAAACCCTTTGACAGAAGGCCGAAGGTTGTCAATGTCTGTGTTGAAAGATGGAACGAATTGTGGGCGTGTGCCAAACGTTGCCAAATCACTTCAGATGATGTGATTTTCAGAATGTTATGTAAGAATTTGTTAAACCGACCAGAGGCAGTTGAATAAACTATATTTTAATTAATGGGAATTTAAATTAACAATTATTAATAAATCGTGAGAAGAGAATTATTATATTTTGAGTGGAATGAAATTTACTGGTGGAATCGGCCAAAACACAGATTCTATTTATGGTTGTGAAGAGTCGAAATTTGGGGAGATATGTAAGTTCTCCAATTTTTCGCAGTTTAGCAAATATGAGTAAATGACACTCAGTTGTTTAACATCTGTCTTTTTGTTGATACAGTTGTTATTCATGAAGATGTGGGACATTTCCAGGAATAAACGTTTGGAAAGGTGTTTTTCTTTATCAAGAACTTTGATACTTGTGTAATTCATAGAATGCCCTGTTGTGTTAACATGAGATGCTAGAGCGCATCTTTCAGGATGAAGCCTAGCATCACTTTTGTGTGATGTAATCCTTCCTTTAAGAGATCTGGAGGTCTGACCTATGTATATTTGGTTGCAGTTGTTGCAATTGATGGAGTAGACTGTGTTGGTTAAGCCAAGCAGCGGGACTTTGTCTTTCATTTTTGAAAAAATGCAGTTTATAGTGAGGACGGATTTGCAAGCAATTCGAAAGTTCAAAAAACTGCACAATCTGATCAGCTTAGGGGTCAGTTCCTTGATATAGGGCAGGACAGCAAAACCAGGTCTGGAGTCCGGGTTGGTGCTTGTACTGTTTGGATTGATGTTATTATTGGGAATTACATCAGTTCCGTTATTAGGGGTTGTGCAACTATTACCTGCATCACCAGAGTTCGGCAAAATATTGGAAGGTGAACTAAATAAGATCTTGTTAATCAGACACTTCGGATAACCATTATTGATGAACAGTTTTGATAGTTTACGTAAATTTGAGGTGTGGAAGGTATTATCTGAGATGCTGATTACCCTTGTTTTCATCTGTTTTACCAAATTGATTTTAATCCCTAGCTTATGGTATGACCTAAAATTGAGAAACCGACCTGAGGCCATAGGTTTCTGGTACCAGTCTACCAATAAACTGTTGTTGTTGGTGCGAATGAGTCTTGTGTCTAGAAAGGGGACAGACAGGTTCTCATCTTCTTTTTCAATGGTAAATTGGATGTAGGGGTCATAGCTGTTGAATTCTCTGACAATACCATCCAGACCTATGGAAGGGAGGCATAAAATAATGTCATCTACGTATTTTTTTATGAAGAAGAGGTTATAGGGTAGTGTCGGAATAACAGTATCAAGCAGATCATCCATGACATATTCTGCCAAAATTGGTGACAGAACAGATCCCCCATAGGACAACCATGTGTTTGAGAATATATTTTGTTGTTGAAAGAGAAATAATTGTTATGAAAAAGGAATGTTATAATGTTGGTGAAAGATTCTAGAGATATATTGCAGTGTTGACTTATCTCATTCCAGTGTTTATTAATAGTTCTTGTACATGCATCCAGATAGATGTTGCTGAATAGCGACACCACATCAAGACTGGCGATAATATGATCGGCTGGTATTGTCAATCTGTTGAACTGACGAGAGACTTCAAATGAGTCTTTGATGTAGTAATCATTATCTGCATGTGCTGATTTTAGTGTTGTCGATATTAATGAAGACAAAGCCTGGGTGGCTGAACCTATTGATGCAACTATAGGTCTTACTGAGAGTACAGGTTTGTGAATTTTCGGAAGTGCATAAAATTTGGGAGGGACAGAGTTATAAGTAGTCAAAGTTCTTTTTTGTTCTTGGGTTATTTGTCCAGTGCTGAGAAGTTCCTTAACAATGTCATTACTTTTCTTTTCCACTTTAAGTGTGGGATCTCTATTAATTTCATGATATGATGGGTCATCATTGATGAGATTGTTGCAAAGATCTAAATAGTGTTGTTTAAGCATTATCACTGTAACATTGCCTTTGTCAGATCTTGTAACCATAAGTTCAGAATGTTGTTTTAGAAATGTTCTAGTTTTGTTTAAAAGGTTGTGATAAAAGGAATGCTTTTTATTAAGATTGTTATTATGATAATAGTTAGTGATGAGGTTAGTGGAACGAGTTGTGAAAATGTTTCTTTCAGTGTCATCACTTATGGAGGATGCTATTGTGTCTACATCCGCTAGGATTGATCTAATTGGAATGTCATTGTTAACAATCGGCTCTACACT